CATGTTGCAATGTTAGTTGTATTGTGTTGCTATGATAGCTTTATGTTCGTGCTAGGTTAGTTATATATCTCTGCTAGATTAGTTTTATCATGTTGCAATGTTAGTTGTATGATGTTGCTATGTTATCTGCCTGTTGGTGCTAGGTTAGTTATATATCTCTGCTATGTTAGTTTTATCAATTTGCAAAACTTTGGAAGACCATAACTTTGTGTAGAAAGCTCCGTTTTGGACGAATTTTTTTTTGATTTGGGGTAGCTCGACGAGATCTACGCAGCTGCAAACAGCCGAAGGCGGTTTGGCCGCCCGAATTTTTGAAAAAATGCCTTTTTTCTTGCTTTAATTTCATTTTTAAGAAAAAAAATACATTTTTTTTTTGTATTTTTAAACTTCTATATCTCCTCAATCAAGACTCATTTTCGAAGTATTTTTATTCATAACAATCCTCTCAATTTCTATTTTATGTACCAATTGGAAAAAATTAGAAAATGCATAGTTTCTGCAGTTGCTATGTTAGTTGTCTGATGCTGCTAGGTTAGTTGTATGATTGTGCTAGGTTAGTTGTCTGATTGTGCAAGGTTAGTGTCCGCATTTTAAGAGCTGGCCTCATTTTAAGAGTTGGCCTCATTTGATCCGCCCCATATTATTGCTAGTACATCCATACAAGAAAATTTTTGAATGTGCATATAATTGTAATTTAATCCAAATTATTTGGACCAAAGTGTTACAACTTATTATATTATAAAAATAAAAAATAAAATAACGGCAGATCGAATATATAAGTCGTACCAAATCTTGTTGACCACAGTTGACCTTTGCAAGAAAGTGCATAGCACGTAGGCCAGTACCCCCAATTCCCATGTTATTAGATAGTATTAATAATAATACTATTACTAAGGATTTATTACTTTATTCTATTATTTTACATTTTCCGAGTAATAGCAATCATTATGCAGTATTGGTAGTTTATCTTAAACTAGTATTTGATCATGTGTATTTACACATATATATATATAAAATACGTTTTTGTTTGTATTTATTAACTAGACATGTATTTCTATCATATAAAAATTATTACTTTTTTCTTAAGTTATTTTTATCATTCAAAATTAATTGAGATTTAAATTTCATTTTAACCATGCATCGTTTACATTAGTAACATGAATAAAATAATTCATATATTGTGGCATATATTAAGAAAATTCACATAAATAAAAAAAATTGTTGGTGTTTCTGATTTAAAAAAAAAAAAAAATGTGTCAATCATGTTTTTCTTCCAACAATGCAACCAAATATAGTGGTTTTTCTGAATGTGCCAATCAACTTTAAGTTCTAGCATTAGCCGTTACATACTTGATATTTTGCTACTAAATTTAAAATTAATTTAATAATTGATCCAAAAAATAAATAATAAATATATATATATATATATATATATATATATTAAGGTGTAACGGTTTTAACAGATTAGTGAGTAATTAATTAAAAAAAATTGTAACTCATTTTGGAGGGAAATAAAAATAGATTTTATTAAATATTTTATTAAATGCATCATCTAATAATTATATATATAAATATAAAAAATATGTTATTTCAGGAAAAAATAAATAAAAATGTGATGTTTTATCAATTTCAGAAGGATAAGATAAGATTTAGGCACCAGACTTTCACTAATGAGTTGTTTACGTTACACATAATAATTAGTGTGTGGCCCGTGCAATGCACGAGAAAACAATATTACGATTGTGTTATAAATTTAATATACAAATAAATTAATCAA